AGCCGGGCATGGTGGCGTGTGCCTGTAGTCCCAGCTACCCCGGAGGCTGAGGCAGGAGGATCGCTTGAGCCCAGGAGTTTGAGGTTGCTGTGAGCTAGGCTGACGCCACGGCACTCTACTCAGGGTAGTAGAGTCAGACTCTGTCTCAAAAAAAAAAAGTACTATAGAAATGAAACCTAATTTTTAAAAAGTATGACTACCTCCCTTATTGCCCATAACATTTTTTTTCATAATCCATATAGTAGGTACTCCATTGGCAGCCTATGTTTTCACTCACATCAGTCCTGAAGTAGGATTCAAAACCTCTTCATCCCTTCAAAAGAATTCTGCTTTCTGCTCCAGTGAGAAATATCGATGTTATTGAAAATTTTTAGGGGAGACCAGGTTTTTTTTTTACTACACATCCAGTAGCATACAACGGCATCAATGTCCTGTCAAGAGGCTTCCTCCCCCTAAGACCAGCTGGCCCTTGGCACTCTTTGTTCCTCTTCTCTGGCGTCTCTCTTCCTCTCTTGAATCTACCCTTCTAGTCTCTCAATCTCTTCATGCGTGGGGCAGTTTAATTCTTCCAAGCATTTATTTCCAAAAAGGATACTCTAGTGTCAAGATTCGCCCTATGTTGAAGACAGCAGAGAATTATGAATAACAATTTTTTTTTTCTGGATACATGTATGCTAGGCTCTATTTCTGAGATTTCGATTCTGTTTTGGAGATCTGCCCTTGTGCCAAAACCATGAAAGGGCCCAGGAGAGACAAGCAGAAGCGGGTCAGCGGGCCTGAAAGTCGCCCTCACGACTCTGTCCATGGGGTACACGCACTGAACGTCCGCCAAACCCTACCCAATCCGGGTATTTCCCACCCTCTTAACCTGTGGACCGGAAGCCGTGGGGGCGGAAGAGGAGCTGGCCAGGAAGCGGGAGGAGGCGGTTCTCTCGGAAGGACTGCGGCTTCCTTAACCTGGCCCGCCTTGGTAGCCGCTCAAAGGCGTAAAGTGTCAGCCTGCGAGTTGCAGGCCATGGCGCTGGCCGCTCGACTATGGCGCTTCGTCCCTTTGAGACGTGGAGCCGCCCCGGGGTCTTGGCTCCCGACGGGGACTTCCGGCAGCCGCGGACAGTGCGGCCCCGGGCGATTCCGCGTCTCTGAGGTACCCTCGGCGCCCTGGCTCCTGCTTCCTCCCCTACCAAGTGGGTGGGTTCGGGCTCTTCCTTCTTCAGGCTTGGCAGCCCCGCGCCACCTATGGGAATAATGAGAAAGATATGAACTAAGAAAGGAACTCCGAGACTGTGTTCCTGGAGTGCTTCCGGCTACTGTGACAGGCAGGTCCTTTCTCTTTCGCAAGCCTCCTCTCTACGAAGGCTGGAGTTGGGTGAAGAAGTGGGGTATGTCTTCCCTGAGAAGCTGCCTCACGTCTGCCCTTCTGTGTGAGAACATGGAGAACAGGACGGCGAAAGAACTTTGACCGCTGTGAAGTAATTTTCACTTTCATTGATGCCGGATGCAGTAACAGCATTTGAAGCCGTCAATCCACCAGACTTTGAAAACTTTGTGGTGTGATTTTGAGAATTCCTACGACTCAGAAGCAGAGATTTCGTACCATTTAGGTTTTTCAGAAAAATAATTATTTCCTAGTTGCTCTTTTTATCTGCATAACGTTAAGGGAGGCTGTCAGGATGTCGGATTGTAGTCTTCTGGCATTTTAATTAGACGGTCCTTGGGTTTTGGGTGTTTATTCTTGAAAGGGGTCTGAGGGGTGGGGATGGGCATTGGTGCATGTGATATATTTCACTTGAACTAGGTGTTTCATTATTTTAAACTCAAAATTACATTTTTACCTGTCTACTCAGTTAAAATTGTTCAGAATTATTGTAGGACGGGGGAATAGAAAGATAGTAAGACATAATCCCTTTCCTCCGAAGAGTTTATAACCAAATGAGGAGATGCTAGGTTATAATGGGCAGAGGGATGATAGGAGTAGTAAGTATGAAACTATTTAGCCTTAAGTTTTACTAAGTATGAAGGTAGTTAGCCTTACGTTTCCAAATTAGATCATTGGTGAGTATAAGTCCTATTTTAGTGGGGCTGATCATAGTTTAAAGAATACTAACTAGCATTTATTGAGGGCTTACTGTGTTAAACAACTGTGTTAAGCCAGACACTGTATTAAGCAATACTCCATTTAATCTTTATATCCACCCTATCTAGTAAGAACTGTTATTTAAATCATTTTTCATCAGAGGAAATGGAAGTAAGGTTAAATAATTGTGTCCACGTCATGGCAGCTAAGAGATGTTGTATTTGATGGTGGGTAGAGTATCTCCAGAGCCCATCAGCTTGAAATAGCCACCATACTAAAAAACTGTAAACTGGAGAAGACAGAAGAGGATAGGAAAAAAGTCAAGATCAAGAGGGACTAGAAAGATTCTTAAGTAATAGAGCTCTGCTCTAAATCAAAGGCAGTAATGAAAATTCTTTCTTCCTTCCAGGTTTATCGACTTCAGGGAGTTGGAACTATGCTACCAATTTTCTAGTTCATGCCTTTACATAGCTTTTATTTTTGTTTTCCTTTTTTCTAGATCTTTCACTCAGCATGATGTTAATAAGTTGAGTTAGAGATATTTATTCCCCAGGAGTTTTCAGAGACTTGTGCCTACTTCTCGGTGGCTCAGGAGAGATTTCAGTTTTCTGTGTTTCAGTTTGTAAGCTCTTTTACCCACCTATGAACAGTAATTCTTTAGCAAATTTGTATTGAGTGCTGGCTATGTGTCAGGCTCTGTTCTAAGGTCTGGAAATATAGTAGTGAACATGAGAAACAGAAACCCTGTGAAAGTTGTCAGAGTCAAAATGGAGTCATTTGTGTTTAAAAAAAACAACCTAACAAATAGACCCAGGAAAGGCCGTGAAGGGAGGGTTCTCATGCATGAATATTTGATAAAAAGAACTATCACAGAAGACTGCAAAAACTATCACAAAGATCTGTCACAAAGTATCACAAAGGCCATTCCAACCTTAAATAAAAACACTTCTGCAAGAGCATCTGCCCAGCGACTGCTTGGCTGACTTTAGACTGGCACCACCTTTATTATTGATCCTTGTAGTTAAGAATAATTATTTCAAAATAATTATATAATTCTCCTGACTCTTCCTTTAAAAACCTTTGTCTTCCTTTACATCCCTGAACATGCACATAGTTTACTATGGCACGTGTATTCCCAATTTATTCTTGAATAAATATTTTCTTTAGATATGTTTATTTATATCAGCTGTATCTCAGTAAAGTAAAGCTGTTTAAAAAATTTTAAACTCATTTAAGTTTTTTTTTTTTTTAAAAGGAGGAAGTGATCAGATGTCAAATGCTGTTGATAGGTCAAGTAAGATGAAAATTCAGAATTGACCATAGGAAATACCATCATCCTAGGTGACATCAACTAGAGTCCCATCAGTGGAGTTGTGGAGATAAAAGTGTGATTTGTATGGGTTCAAAGAGAATGGGAAGAAAGGAAGTAGAGACAGTACTGACAAACTGTTTGAAGAGTTTTACTAGAAAGAGGAGTTGGGGAATGATACTGAGGGAGACATGAAGCCAAGGGGAAGCTTTGTTTTCAAAAGAAGTGAGAAACTACAGCTTACAAAGATAGAATAGCTTGTTTTTATTCTGATAGGAATGATTCAACAGAAGGAAAAAGTATGCTATGTTAAAGAGAGAAAAATTGTGGAGAAAGAATTTCTGGCATGATATCCATATATGTCTCCTTTGTCATGATCTCAAGAATCTAGCCATAATTATGAATATTAATTTCCAAATATGAATATACTCTTTATTATTTTAAAATGTGGGTTTCATGGGTCACTTTTGATGATACCTTCACTTAAAGCCGTGTACATTTTTTATGTGTAGTAATTACTGTATTTGATATTCTTCATCTTGTTTATTTATAAGATTGATACTATGTGTTGATTTCTCATATTTCATATAATTTATAATATCCATACATTTGCAAATAAATTACAGATCTTCCTCTTCAGGACTTATCAGCATGAGTGTGATTTTTAGATGACCTACTACTCCTAGGCAGTATCTTTTCTTAAGATATAGTTTAAAGTAGTTTAACTAAAGGATTTGATTAAGTAATTTTTGAGCTTCCAGTATTCTTATGATTGATTGTTTTGAGGCGAGAGGAAATTGATGTAATTTTTGCATGGGGTAGAAGTTCCTTCCAATTTTCTAAATTTGATAACTCTGACCATAATTATTTTCCATAGGTAATGAGAAACCCAGGAACTTTCAAAAGAGGCCTTTTAGCCTCAGCCTTGTCTTATCTGGGTTTTGAAACTTATCAAGTCATTTCTCAGGCTGCTGTGGTTCATGCTACAGCCAAAGGTAAGCCTTATATTTGGAACACTTAAGAGTTTTTGTTTTTTATTTTATTAATAACTTACAATTATTTTTTAACAGATAATGCAGTTAACATTGTTACAGTCTAGATTATGTTCTGTTTTTCTCTATTTGTCACTCTGATATTATATATAAAAAATTTTCTCAAAACTATTTAATAGAGTTCTTTGAGTGATAAATGCTTTATTAATACTTCATATTTTTGTAGGACCCTTAAGCTAAGAATTAAGAATATTTTTTACATTTTTAAAGGGTTGAGGAATTGTTGGTGGGGGACGGGGGCAGTGGAGAACATGCCATAGAGACCATGTATGGCCCACAAAGCCCAAAATATTTACTCTTTGGATCTTTATTGAAAAAGGTTGCCAGCCTCTGCTTTATAATGACAAAATGATTCTTTTTTTCCTTCAACGCCAAGGTATATTGTACTCTTCTTGATACAGTTAAGGAAAAGCCCTAGTACTTTGAGATAGAAGTATTAGGTCATTAAATGTGAAATGTCTGATTCTGATCAAAAGTTGATTACATCTCAAACAAGAAGCAGTACAATTAAAGTAGGTACCTAAATTACCAACACAGTTTTGCCATCTTAATGGTAGCTTGCTTATGCCAACAGCAAAGAAGCCTAGAGAGCAAGTTGTGATGAAATCATGAAAGGCATTTTCCATAGCTTGTTGAGAATTGAATATTTTTCCTTGCAAGAAGTGGTCCAAACCCTGGAAGAAGTGGTAGTCAGTTGGTGCAAGGTCTGGTGAATACGGTGGATGACAGACAGAGTGTTTCCATGTCCAGCTTCTGTAGTTTGAGCAGCATTGTTTTTTTGCGACGTGTGGTCTTGCAAGAGGATTGCCTTATCTCTGTTGACCAGTCTCGGCTGCTCAACTGCAAGCATCCTCATCATTTCGCCCAGTTGGTTGCAGTGGACATCCGCTGTAATCGATTGACCAGGTTTCATGAAGCTGTAGTGGATAATACCAGTGCTGGACCACCATTAGCTTTTTTTAATGAGTGTTTGATTTTGGACTGTGTTTTGGCACTTTGTCTTTATCCAACCGTTGTGCCGAATAGTTGGGATTGTCAAAAAGAATCCATTTTTCATCACACATAACAATACGGTATAGAAATGGTTCACCTTTATGTTGTGACAGCAAAGAAAGGCAAGCTTCAAGACTATTTCTCTTTTAAAAATGTTCATTTAATTCATGCGGTACCCATCTATCCAGCTTCTTGACCTTGCTGATTTTGTTTCAAATGGCTCAATATTGTTGGAATAGTAACAGCAAACCTTGCTGCTAATTCACACATAGGTTGAGGTGGATTTGCTTCCACTGTAGCTCTCAGCTCATCCTTATCTGCCTTGGTCTCAGGTCACCCACATGGCTCATTTTCAAGACTAAAATCACCAGAAGGGAACTTCTCAAACCATCAACGTACTGTGTGTTTATTAGGCACATCCTTCCCAAACACTTGGTTGATATTTCGAGCTGTCTGTACCACATTGGCTTCAGGATGGAACTCATATTAAAAAATAAACGAATTTTTGACTTATCCACGGTTTCACAAAAATTGCTCTAAAAAAAAATTTGAGTGCTCGCTTCGGCAGCACGTATACTAAAATTGGAACGATACAGAGAAGATTAGCATGGCCCCTGTCAAAAAAAAAAAAAAAAAAATTTGAAAGATCATCACAAGCCAAACCATGCGTTTGAACGAATGAGGATA